AAAATAAAGGTTAATGGAAGTAAAGAAAACAAACAAGCCAGCAAACAAAAATATCAACATTCCTGTACTTAGCCGTTGTAGAGAGGTGGCCATTGTATGGGAGGTTTCAATGAGAGTAAGTGTATGAATCGGCGCACGGTCGGCGGCAAAAATCCTAGCCGTTGTAGGGAGTTGCTCGATGCCTTTGAAGAGAGGTGGCCGTTTGTGGAGGTTTGACACTTTTTGTGGCATCTTATAGTTGCCAGTTGCATGCCAAGTTAGCCTGGCATGTATATAGACAGGTTTCCAGATATGTTTGAAAGGCAAGGTGTCAATGAGGAATTGCAACAGGTCAATAGATATGGACCTCACCAAATCATCTGAAGTTTTGTATTAATTTTTAGGGTCAGCTAGCTGACCTTGGCAGGTTTTATTTTGACCCGAGACCTCTCTCCTTTACCTGGAACACTGATATCAGAGATCAGTTAAATGACTACATGCTGGGCATGCTGTTCTTCTTGGCCCTTGATTGGATTGGAAAACCAACAGAAAATCTGTAGTTTTATATACAATATTTCGTATAATAACTTTTTGAAATTTAATATTCTTATTTTATTTCTTAATATCATTCAGCTCAAAACAAGCCAGCAATACAACTTTGGTAAGCGAGACAGCAAGGGCAAAGGAGAAACCGTTAGGAAAAGTTATAGATATGGTAACAAAGAAATTATTACTTCATTCATTTGTTTATGTTCATTTATTCTTCTAGCAAACACTGTAACATTAAGTTTAAGGAACGAACCCCGGCTTTTAGCACGCTTCAAACTGTTACAAAATTCAAAGACAATGAAACCCGGACTGACCATAGCATGAATATGCCGATCACAGCAAATGCAAATAACACAGTAAATCAAAATCAGAACTGGACAAACAAATTTAATCCATAGAATAGGCCATTTCACAAGGCAAGGACATCGCCCAAACAAAAAACCTCTGACCCACCTCTTTTTTTTCTGTTCTTCTTTTTCCATTAATCGGTTGTGGTGGAAGACGAAATAAAACGTGTCAGGCGCACAACACGGTCGAGCGAAAAATTGGGGTTGGTTTATCCAACCAACTAATTGATTGATGTCGAATAAAACTGGCAAGCGAAATCATAGATATTGAGAGCCAAAAAAACAAATACCGTGTATTCACCGTTTGGAAGAAACTGAATGCAAAACGATGGATTCTTTCTTCGCCGTTTCGACAGTACAGTCCAAGTCCCTGCAGAATTCAAATTTCTAGGCTAATTAAGAGGCTGTAAAGCCAATCCTGCCATCACACAGAGCCATCTGTTTCCATTTTCTGAGGGCATGCTGCGAAACTAGCAACGAGGTCTCGTGAAGGCGACTTATCGGCCGGGGAGTTTCAAAATTGTTCAGATTTACAAGCTTTTGTGATTGTGCAAACAACTTGCACACAATACTAAGGGACTCCACATGACTAGATGGATTAGTTGTCGATACATAAAAAGTTGTCGATAACAAAAAAAGCCAGTGCTGTGAAGTCAGTTATCGATAAACCTAAGGGCCTTAGTTATCGATAACTAGCTTTACACACTGGCTTTTTTGTTCACGGGGGGGGGACAACTTTATTATGATCGTACCAACTATCTCTTCACGCCATGTGGAGTCATCCTAAATAATGTGCCAAACACAACGGCGAACTAATGACAACGAGAACGTCGCTAACAAAAAGGTTTTATAATTGAGCCAGTACAATGGATCTGTCCTACGTTGCGTTATTCATCTTGGTACATTTCTTAGCATGTAGCCACTGAAAATTAAAACAACAACGTGAAATGGCCAAATCTTGCCGTATCTTTTGTTGAAAAACATCGAACCGCGACGGTGAATTAGTTTCATGTTTCTATTTAAACTGTGAACGCTTTTCTTTCCATATGGTTGTCTGAGGATAGCTTCCTGTACACCGGTAGACCAAATTGAATAGATCTGTGAATATCGCGTAGATTCTTAATACAGTAAAATAGAAATTCATTTTTTAACCGGCGCTGTCCATTTTTTTTATTTCATGCAGGGTCTTCGGAGAGCTTAAAACTATAGCCACAGATGCTGTGAGGTGTGTTACTCAAGGCAAATAAGAAATAATTCCCAGGTATTGTGCCATAAATGCTGTTGAGGCAGACCCTTTGATGTGGTAATATACGATTTCTTTAATAGCAACATCAGAGTCCGCGACATTTCGTTCGCGGCAACAAGATTGCAGGTTTTTGAATCGCTTTCAAAAACCTGCAACTTGTTGCCGAAACCCTGCACTGATGTTGCTTTAAACATCGTCCAGCCGCGGCCATGTTACACGATAATGATTTGTACCGCAACATGATTGAAATATGCTATAACTAGAAGAAGTAGTTCCATGCAGTTCCCCCGTCATAAGTTGCGCCGCATCGTTTCGAAGCGTTCAGTTTTTCCCGCCATAATGTGCCCTCGTCAGCCGTCGCGCGCCTTTCATTTTTTTTCCTCCGCAACAAAAATATGCCGCGTCCGTCAAATTTGTTTCTCATGTCTCGTTCTTGGTTATTTCTTGGTAGATATAAAACTTTGTGCATAGCGAGCCTTGGCCAATTCAAACATTACTATGTTCTCTTATAGTTTGCAAGTGTTTTTGTATGCTGTGAACGAGTTCAATGGGTTTTTCTTGACAAACCACGTTCAAGGGATGCTAAATCAAAGATGGGGCGGCTGTAAGGGAAAGTATATTTTATTATTTTTAGTATACTTTAATAGCGTCGTAAGTAAAATACATCTGTGCAAAAATTCAAATTCGCATGGGTGCTTTAATATACAGTCAACTCTCGTTACAGCGAGACATCCCCTCGGGGACCGTAGTTTGGAGTCCGTAATAACGAGAGCCGAGAGTCCCGTAATAAGCGGGAAGTCATTTTCAGTCAAACCTCTATAGCTTCGCCGGGAAGATGGCTGGAATTTTGTCCGTAATAGTGGGTAGTCCACAAGGCAAGAAGTTACCGTCATAGCTAGGGGACGTAAAAGAAAACCCACATTCACTGCTTCGAAAAGAGTAGGGGACGAGATCCCCGGTGCTGTGGTCTGGTCATTCCATTGGTTGGGGGCCGGTTTACGGGATATACGAGTAATTGGCGCAAGCTGTTGTAGTTACCCTGTTCTACTTGCCAAAGCTAGGATTAAATTAAATTAAACTTCAAACTCTTCAGGAAACTCAATTCAGTGAAAACAGGGGGAGTGGAGTTGAGTTTTTGTGTTCGATCGCTGTGTGCTTCATGAATTAGCTTCTTGATGACCTTGAAACGGATTGAACCCAATACTTTTGTACTAGCTTTTTCCTTGCTTTCTGGCCAGAAAACGAGACCAAATATCCAGTCGTGAATCCTCGGAGATCAAATTTCGACCTTATTTTATTTTGCAAAACAATCTCTACTTTTCTCCTCGAGATTTTGATACATTTCCCGCGCGCGAATTAGCGAAGCATGCATCGATCGTTTTATGATCCATGGCGGGAGGCACCACGAAGCGAAAGCTCGCACCGCGATGGCATCTACTCCCCAATCCCACTTCGAAAACTTTCACTCTCGTCTCCCGGAATCCTTCTCGAGACGTCGCATTTTGCCCGACGAATCTCACTCTAAAAAATTACTGACTGTTTTGCAGTCTTAGTATTTCCCACAGTTGTTCCTCTGCCTACTGAAGGACAGTTGGAGGACCCGCCTAGATAGGGAAAATGAGCATGCAAATAGTGTGAAATCGCGAAATTGTTTGTTTTTTCATTTTAGATAAGACCCAAGAGATTGAGTTTAGTGCATCACTTTACAGAACTGTTACATCCCTCACATGGCTTGGTAAGTAACAAAAAATGCCAACAAATATCATATAAGTAGATATTTTAGGGGGGGGGGGGGGGGTTAGGGGGAACCTATGCTATTTCAAGAGAAGATATTTGTATTTTTTTTAACCTAGGGTTAGGGTTAGTGTTAGTGGACTTCAATTTGCTGTACAATTCCGATTATAAATCCTGGGTTTATTTTTTGTTCACTAAAAAGGCCGAGGCTATTGTTAGGACTGACTTGTGCGTTTCAAAAATGGTTGGACTCATATTAAGAAATTTGTGAACGTATGCTGTATGCTGTGAACCATCATAAAATTCTGAGATTTTGCGTGTTTTTTTTTTTGGTGCATTATATGAATACCGCATGGTGACAGACTCTCTAAACTGACTAAAACCTCTACGCTAGTTCAAATAACATCACGTGAGGCTGAGAGGGAGAAAAGGGGGCTTATTATCGCAGAGTTCTCTTTGTTTCAGATTTACGGGGCTTATTTTTGCGGTGGAGGAGCTCATTATCGGAATTGAAGTCACAATTTGTTTTCCTTTTTTGTAGAAAAATGGAGCAATGGTGTTTGCGTTATCTCGCACAGGAATGGTGAGAAGCGAAATCAAATCTTCTCAAATATCAGATCTACTAGGAGAGGTGAGACGGAAATAGCTCAGTTCCTATGTCATTTTACTCTGATCAAGTGCATAGCATCCATTTCCGGCCACCTGATTGCGCAGAGAGGGACCAGCCTGTTCGTGTCATTTGTCGAGTACTTGCTGTGTTCTTGGTATATTTTTAACCTCTTGAAATCACGCTAAAATAGATGGTATTTGTTCAACAGAAGGGTTTATCAGCGGTGCAGCATTCCACAAACATCCTGGTTCCCTGTTACTCTGAAGAAGAACTTGATTCGTGCCTTGGTTTTTCAAGAAAAGAGGCGCGTTAACAAAAGGTAATGTTACTGAACGTAAGTTGCATGGATCTTAATAAGAATTTTTTTAGCGGTTTCACAAAGACTTACACCTTAAGAAATGTCACATGTACTGTTGGAATCCGGCTAGAAAACAAAGTTGGCTTGGTGGATTTTAAACTTGGTAGAAATACGAGAAAGATGAGAAAGATGCTCAGTCAGTGACATAAGCTATTCGGAAGAAAAAAAAATTGGGAGTTCTCCCAACAGGAGTCGAACCAGGGACCTTCAGCATACCGGTCGGACGCTCTACCAATGAGATACAGGAGCTCCTGCGGCATTTGGACTAGCCTGAGTCAGTCAACAGACATCTCTCTTCGCACGCTCAATTCTTTTCACGCTGCAGAGAGTCTGAGTTTCGACCCGAAAAAAATACATAGTGATGACGTAGCTCTACAGAGATCCGTGAAGTGTCTCTGATTGGTTGCTACTTGCGCGCGAAAATTCAAACCGAGTAACAACGAATCAGAATATACTACACGGGTTTATGCTGGTAGCGCGCGAAGAGAAACGTCTGCTCACTCAGGCTACATTTGGACGTTTTGCACCAAGTTTTTGGGGGGTGTTAAATAAAGAGTGTTTATTTTCTTCGGTAATGTGTCTTGCATTTCAATCTGCGGGGTAAATCTCAGCCTGTGTCACATCCGTCATCTCTCCTCTCCAGGCTCTCTTCCCGATTTTTTTTGAGGGGAGGAGGCAGATGTACACAGGCTAGGTAGATCTAAACTTTCGACTTAATGTTGAAGCAATAGCCCATTATTAAGAATAATGCCTTGTTTGTTAGTTTGAAAACGGAAAATCGGAAATAATTTCCATCTATTAAATAAGTAAACTTTACTCCAGGAGTTACTAAAATGCTCTTTCGCTGCCGCTATTGTATATTACAGAAAAGTCTTTGTCATTTCGGGTAGCTCTTAATTTGTACGGGTTTCTCCTTCATTTTATTTCAGATTTTAAATTCCAAAGTAACAAAGGAGGTCGCCTTTCTTTCTGAATACGAGCCCCCGATTGTAAGTTACTTGTGTAGGCGATGCTGGAATCGAATACCGAACAAAATGTGTAAATAAATTTAGTTTGAAACTTGAACGTTCTCATGTATCTTGTATTGTGCGGGAAGGAAATGGGTACCCTATTTTTAAAGTTGTACTTTTTCCTACTTTTCCGTGGGTATAATAGCTTTCACTGCTTGTCTCACTTCTCTGATCTTCCAGCAGTGAAGAATCGGGTTCAGAGATGAGTTTAAATAAAATAAACAATGGAGATTGTGGCAAGGAAATAAGCCACACTTCCGGGTATTTTTGCATGCGTGAATAGCACCTACAACACTAAAGGGAAGATAGCAAGCAAGCTATGCAAAAACTGCACCCATGCTATGGTGGAAACCATCTTCTTGTATCGTGCTATATTCAGTGGAATGCTCCTGCGTTTGGCGGTTGTACTTGGTGGGCGTGGTCTTGTACTTGATTCTGATGATGGCGGAGAAAGAAATAGATCTTGATGTAAGAGAAGACTGAGGTTAGCAGAGAAAGTAGCAGCAAAGCGATTAATACAGTCCGGGCAAATTCATGACCCCATGCGGCTGTATTTCCACTGACCCACCTAATGCACAACCCAGTAATCAAAAAACAAATTATGACCGCTCGGACTCGCCTTAATGTTACAATGTGCCTGTATCTTAGCCCCAACAACAGCGCGAGAAGTCTTGTCCACACTTATTGCGGTTGATGTCGAGATCGATACAGCAGACAAAATATAACCTGAATAACTAGTTACTTGGATTACTGTAGTAAAAAGATTGTTGTTCACGTTTGTTATCCCAGCGATAAGAGTTATAGCATAGAATGGTTGCGAAATAAGACCCGCGCAAAGAATCAGTGACTGCAGACATCGAAAACAAAAAGTTTTGTTGGAGGATAAATAGAAGTCACTTTATGAAGAGCAGTTAGGATCAGTACATTGCCCCAGAGATGCGGTGATGGAGAGAAAAATGTTCAGGGCTGTGAGAAAATACAGCAATGTCTACTGGTAATGTGCTTAATATCTGTAATCGTTCCTGCTTGAATGTGTTAGTTCCAACTCCAGCAGTAATGTTCGCCATTCAATTTGTTCGTCAGCACTTAGATTGTTGCCGGTAAAGGATCTCTTAGGCCGCCTTAAAAACTTGTCTTCTTTCTTATTAGTGGGCTGATATAATACTTAGTTGCGGCTGATAACAGTCAGGTACATGTCCTGTTGTGCTTTTGATAACTATGTTTAATGTACATGTATATGTGCTTTAGCAGTGAGATATTGTCGTTGTTTCTCTGTTTTCTTACATTTATTTGGTTTATTAGTCATATAGTAATGTCATATGCTTAGCTTATTGCTCGCTAATGTTGGAACAAATGAGAAAAAAATACTGAAGATTGTCAAAAACAGCACCAGTCGAGTATTACATTCTGAATGCCAGTTTGAACGTCGAGAAAACATTTGAAGTTGTGGATTTTTCTAAACAAGGAAAATTCATAACTTGATATAACAGCTGACTACATCTGGTTGGACGACTCGATAAAGGAAGTCATAATTGTCAGTAACGTGCATATCAATTAAGTTGGAGTAATGAAATATTTCTCTTTTTCTTTTCTGTCGATTCAACAATATATCGAGTATGTTTATTTTCAGTCATATAAGTACTAGCTAGGATGCTTCGAGTTTCTTCATGTACAACATGCAATTGCAAGACGAGTTTTATTGTTTGTTTCTTGGCCATTTATCATAATATATTTTCACCTGGTGGCAATTTACTGATCACATGAATGCAACTGTGGAATATTCGTATATTTTTTCTAGAACTTAGCATAATTTGATCCAAATTAACCAGCCTAAATAACAAAGTATCGTGAATCATCTGGAGAGATCATTTCATTTGAAAATAACTCCCGTGGAAATTACACGTTATATTTAATTTTCCATTTAACATCACTACACTTAGTCGAAATAATTACACTCTTTTCTTTTTATAAGAACCTTTTTTATTAAGAACGTTGAGGCTGAGATTGACCAAAAGTTTAAGGACATGCTAAGAACATAGCCAGGTTGAGGACTTAGCTAATAAACATTTTTATTTCACTTGTTTCTTGCATTCGAGCTCTAAATACAATATTCCAGTATCCTTTCAAAAAAATTAACAAAATGTAACATTTCACTGAATATCTCAGTGAATAAGCAGTTCAAATCAGCTCAAAATACTTGAATGCACATTTTTTAAAGTTCATAACAACATGAATTTCCATCACATAAAACGTAAATACATTTTCATGGTCACGTTCAAATCTATACCATTCAAACTTAAGAACATGTTAAGAACGTTTTCAGGCTGAAATCGCCAAAACAATAAGAACATTCGGTCTTGGTTCAGCCTTAGCTCGAAAATTAGACGTTCTTATAAAAAAAAAAGAGTATAATGTCCTTACTTACTTACTTAATCCTCTTCGTGCGTGTCCGTTCATAAGTCCGTCACCAGAGAACGCCAGTGTTGCTTGTCTTTCGCTAATAATTCTGTCCTTACTGACACTAAAAATGAGGTGGGCAAGCGTCATCTCGGAGCCCAGCATTTGATTTTTATTTTCACAAAATAACCAATTCTTAAGAGGCTGTCTCTGTTAAAACCGACCAGTCGATTTTTCTTCGAAATTTGGATTTTTCTCATATGCTGAGGATTTTGAAGCCTTTACCGAAGTAATCACTAAAATGAGTTTTATTTGATCAAAAAATTCTAACTGGAGTTATTTATGATCGATCAAAGTTTGGGCCGGTTGGCACTAATTTCGGGGCCCCCGGAACTGCAAAACTGACGCATATTTGCCGTCGCCGTGAAAAAATAAATATTCGTCCTAAAGATCCAATTCTTTTTTTAATCTATAGATATATCATAGAAGTTTGTTCAGACTGTTGCAATTAAGAATTCAATTGTGTTACTTCGGCGGTAAAAAATTAGATTTTCTACCACACCTAAACGAGTTTTGAACGAAACACGAAAATAGCTCAACTTTGAGGGCAAATTTTAAAAATGTGGCACCTGTTTTCAGACTGCTTAACTACATAAACAGAAACTAGAAATGACCGTTAATTCGAAACTAAAATAAAATTTGTCAGCACTCCACGTTTGCGACACTAACAATTGTTTGAATTTTGGTAAATTCTGAAAATGTAACAGCAATCGAAAACCGCAAGGGGACTGGGAAACGATTACACGTGTAAACGTCGCAGCATTCCTTTCTTCCTTCCATCCTTCGATGCGCGGCTCTATTTACTGTTCATGTGGTGTAATAGTAGTCGTCAATTTCGCCTCTACAAACTATTCAAGACTAATCTACATCATCAAAGCGGCTTTCGAACAATATTATGCGTCAGTAATGCAAAGACCGTTCTTGCTACGTTGTGATGTGACCGTCACGCTCGATACAGATCTCAATGATGAACGTATCTTACATGTAATATCTTTTAGTTGGTAACGATATAGCCTGGAGGGACACGTTTAGAGTTCTAGACGTTACTTAATAGAAATCAAGGATTACTGAAGAGACCAAAAATTGCATCAGAAAGCCAGATAAGAGATTATAGTAAGGAATTTCTCCGAACACACTGTGAGAGCGAATGTGTTCGTTTCTGTTACATTTTCAGAATTTCCCAAAATTCAAACAGTTGTTAGAGTTGCAAATGTAGTGTGCTGACAAATTTTATTTTAGTTTCGCATTAACGGTCATTTCTAGTTTCTGTTTATGTAGTTAAGCAGTCTGAAAACAGGTGCCACATTTTAAAATTTGCCCTCAAAGTTGAGCTATTTTCGTGTTTCGTTCAAAACTCGTTTAGGTGTGGTAGAAAATCTAAATTTTTACCGCCGAAGTAACCAATTGAATTCTAATTGCAACAGTCTGAACAAACTTCTATGATATATCTATAGATTAAAAAAAGAATTGGATCTTTAGGACGAATATTTATTTTTTCACGGCGACGGCAATATGCGTCATTTTTGCAGTTCCGGGGGCGACCCGAAATTAGTGCCAATCGGCCCAAACTTTGATCGATCATAAATAACTCCAGTTAGAATTTTTGATCAAATAAAACTCATTTTAGTGATTACTTTGGTAAAGGCTTCAAAATCCCAGCATATGAGAAAAATCCAAATTTCGAAGAAAAATCGACTGGTCGGTTTTAACTTAACTGCCCTCAGTTTACTTTTTTTCTGCTATTTTTCTGTGTATATATTTGCATTCACGATTTTTATTTAA